TTGGGTTTTTGTTTTTTCTTATGAAATGTTTAATACTGAAAAGACTCGTTGATGTTTAAGTACCAAGCTTCACTTACGTCTTTTCTATTCGTTGTTGTTGTTGTTTGTCTGGCTGTTTTGACCTTGATCATTTTTATTGGAGCTCCTGCCCACGAGGTCAAATTGTATTTTCTCAGCCTGATTGTCGATTACAAACTGCCGTAACCTGTGGGGAAAGCCACGTGTTCCTTGGCAGTTGGTGTCCCGAATCATGTTTCAAGAACAAATATTGTGGCTCCTGAGTAGTGAGACAGGGAGTGGGGGGGGGGGGGGGGGGCCTGAGCGTCCCGGGGGGCCCCTCCCAGCGTGCCTTTGAGAGGGTTTCCCTTTCTCGGGGAAGGCCAGGGGTTGTCCCGGGCAGCCTTCCTGGCTTCCTTGGTTTCCTGGGGTCCTGAGGGAACGCTCAGAGACCTTCCTGTAGTCGATCCCTAATTTGGATGCCTAAGCCAAGAACTCTCGTTCCCAAGACTGCCATCGGGGGGCTCCTGTGAAGAGCTCCGGCTAGGCCTCCTGGAGAAAAACAGTGAAGGGGGGACCGGGATGCCGGTATCAGAGAGCTTTCTATGGTTCTGGCATTGAAACCTCGAGTAAAAGAGAATGAGAAAGCTGGCCCGACTTCTGGGGCGGGTGGGAAGAGAAGCAGAAATGTGGCCCAGAAAGGCAGGAAAACCAGCCTTCAGAAGAGGCCCTGAGAGCGTTGCCCCTTCCTGGGGCAGTTGGTTGTGCAACAGAGGGTGGTGCCCCTGAGCTGTCTGTCTGTCTAGATGCCTCTCCGTCCAGCCCTGGGAAGCCCAGGTGAGTTCCTCAACACAAGTGTCTTAGTCGGCTGGGGCGGCCGTGACTAAATACCACGCACTGGGTGGCTAAAACGACGACAGTTATTTTTGCACAGTTCTGGAGGTTAGACGTTCAAGGTCAAGGTGTCATCAAGCTTGGCGTCCCCTTGGCTGGCAGGTGGCCCCTTTTCTCGCTGTGCCCTCACATGGCCTTTCCTCTGTGCCGTCCAAGCGTGGTGTCTCTTCCTCTTCTTACAAGGACACCGGTTGGATGGGATTAGGATTCAAATGGCATGCTTTTCACTTCATCACCTCTTTCAAGATCCTGGCTCCAAACACAGTCACATGCTGAAGTACTAGGGTCTAGGAATTTAACAGATGAATCGGGGTGGTGGTGGGTGGCATAATTTAGTTTATAACGAGAGAGGCCAATAAACTCCACCGCTGAGGGATGGAGGAACGGGAAGGCCCCATGAAACGACCTGCAGCTTACCCGGGATCTGTAAGGATAGTCAAAAAGAGCTGAAGGGTGGTCAAAGAACGGAAACGTTTGGGACAATTGAGACCTTGATCCCAGTTTATCTTTCTCCCAGAGCAGCAGGAGAAAGTGACAGCAGCCGTGGGAATGAAACTGCTAATGCTCCTGGGGAAACCCAGGGTTATCTGTCAACAAACCAAGCCAGCCGGGACCTATTGAGCACTGAGAGGCGCAAGACACACTCCCAGACATTAGCGAGCAGAATCTCATCCAGGCGCAAGTTAGGAACATGTGGGAAGTTCCTAAGCACAGAGAAATGACCCAAGGAGTCTTGGAGGCCTCCATGCGTCCAGCACTGGGCCTGGAACTGGGGATTCGTCGGAGAGCCAAGGAGACCTGACCCCTGACCTCTGGCGGCTCCTACACTAGAGGGGTGGACAGATCTTGGTCTCAGAGCCACACAAAGAATTTCAAACTGTGATAAGTGCTCTAAACACAAAGGACAGTGGGACGGGATCGAGTGCGACAGAGAACAAACCCACCTCAAAGGAATTCTCAGCAACTGGCATGTGAGTTGAGACCTGAAAGATAAGAAAAGGTTAACCAGGCCAAGAATCAAAAGGACATTGGTGCAGCCGCTATTATTCTGTGTGCCTAAGCCACTACAGGCCTGTTCACATAGCTTAAAAATAGATCATGCAATTTTTTTTCTGATTATGTAAATGAGTCATACTTATAAAAAATGTTTTTTACACAGCAAAGTATTAAAAAAATTACCCGTGGGGGGTAAGAGATCAACCAAAGGACTTGTATGCATGCCTATAAGCATAACCAATGGACACAGACAGTAGGGGTGACGGCCTGTGCTCGGGGGTGGGAGTGGGCGGGGAGAGGTCAATGGGGCAAAAAGAAGACATATGTAATACTTCCAACAATAAAGAATTTAAATAAACAAAAAGAAAATAAGGTAAATAAAAACCTACCAGAAGTCTTACTTCCTTGAGGTAACTACTTGGAGAACATATGCTGTTTTACATGGTGAACAGTAGCTTGAAGTCTTTTTGTTTTTTCGTTTCTTCCCATTTTCCCTCTGCCTAGTGCAGTGATGGCGAACCTTTTGAGCTCGGCGTGTCAGCATTTTGAAAAACCCTAACTTAACTCTGGTGCCGTGTCACATACAGAAATTTTAATATTTGCAACCATAGTAAAACAAAGACTTATATTTTTGATATTTATTTTATATATTTAAATGCCATTTAACAAAGAAAAATCAACCAAAAAAATGAGTTCGCGTGTCACCTCTGACACGCGTGTCATAGGTTCGCCATCACTGGCCTAGTTCCTCTCTGTCCCCTACTCATGAGGCATTTGTACCCCGTTTCTTTTTTTTAATTTTTAAAAAAATATATATTTTATTGATTTCAGAGAGGAAGGGAGAGGGAGCGAGAGATAGAAACATCAGTAATGAGAAAGAATCATTGATTGGCTGCCTCCTGCACGCCCCCCACTGGGGATTGAACTGTGACCTCCTGGTTCATAGGTCAACGCTCAACCACTGAGCCACGCCAGTAGGGCTCCCAGTGTACTTTCAAATATTTCTGTTAAATGCTTGCCCTTGAAGTTGTGTAGCTACCTTGAAAATAGAGACGTATACTGCGACATGATTTATGAATGTTCTCTTACTGCCGCTGACCTACATATATTTTAGTTTCTTTTTCTGCTTGTATCTTTCCTGTCTCAGCATGATACATCTTAATAAAGAAAACTAACACAGATATATTACTTCACAGTTGGGCTAATGATAATTTCCAACTTTCAAACGTTTATGTTATAAGACTGACTTTCTTCTTCTTATGCAGAATCATGTTGGCAAAACTAGTTAACCAGAGCCCCACTTGCTGGGGTATCATCAGAGCCCAGCTGACCTGGGGGAAGGGAAATACCCAACTCTCATACGGTCTAGCCTTCCGCGGGGGAGAGGACAGAAGCCGGCTGCAGCCCCTCCGGCCGCACCGTCCCATTTCAGGAGGGAGGGAAAGGAAAACCGAGCAACACTAGTGGGGTTCACAGACCAGAAACGCACTGAGACCTCATCAGGGGACTGGAGAACGCTTCCCCTCCTCTACAGCGCACCCCCCATCACCACAGGCCTGTTTACAGCGATCCTTGCACCCGTGCATTATGTCCAACTATTGGAGAAAACTGCAAGCATTTGACAGGCAGGAAACCATAATTCGTATCAGACGTGGCAGGATGTTGGGGTTATCAGATATGGAATTTGAAACCACAATATGATTAAATGCTAAGAGCCCTAGTGGATGAAGTAGACACGTGCCAGAACGGATGGGTAACACAAGCAGGGAGATGGAAGTCCTAAGAGAGATCCAAAACAAAATGCTGGAGGTAGAAGGAGACATGAGGAATGCCTGGGCTTCTTCGTAGACTGGCTGAGAAAAGACGCTCTGGGCCAGGGGCCATCTCCGCAGACACCTCCAGAACTGAAAAGCAAAGAGAACCAAGATCGTAAAACACAGAACAAAATATCTAAGGATTATGGGACAACTACAAAAGGTGTCACACATGTAATGAGAAGACCAGAAGGAGATAAAACAGAGAAAGAAACAGAAGAGGTATTTGCAACAATAATGACTGAGAGTTTCCTCGAAATGTGTGATTCCCCCCCTTATCCGCGGTTTCACTCTCGGCGGTTTCCGTTACCTGCCGTCAACCTCTGTCTGAAAATATTACATGGAAACTTCCAGAGATGAATAATGGATAAGTTTTAAGTTGAGCGCTGTGCTGAGGAGCGTGATGAAATCTGGCGCCATCCCGCTCTGTGCCGCCTGGGAAAGCCGCTCCTCATCCCTTTTCCAGCGTCCGTGCTGTATACGTGACCACCTGTCAATCACTTTGCAGCTGTCTTGCTTATCAGATCGACTGTCAGGGTATCTCAGTGCTTGTGGTCAGGTAACCCTTATTTTACATAATGATGGCCCCGGAGCAAAAGAGTGCTGATGCTAGCAATTCGGATATGTCAAAGAGAGCGTCCTTTCAAAGAAAACATGAAAAGGTTCCCAGTTTTATTTATTTGTTTGTTTGTTTAAAGTTTATGGTTTATTAATCCTCTCATGAAAAATCTGCACAACCATCACAGATAAAGTCACTGAAGAATCTTGACTCCTTCTGTAGTTCAATCTCCAGCTCACTCTTTGCCAGCACCAACAATGGCCTGTGCAGTAGTCCCCCTGACTTTCTTCATTCTGTTCTTGCGTTCCTTTCTCTGTTTTCTTGAGGTCTTCTTCTTCTCATATAGGCCATGTCTTGCAAATCTGTGTTTGGGTTCGTTTTTCTTTGCGTAATCCAAGGAATCATAAATCATGCCAAAGCCAGTGCTCTTGCCACCACCCAAGTGGGTTCTGAATCCAAACACAAAGATGACATCAGGTGTGGTCTTATACATTTGGGCTAGTTTTTCCTGAATTTCTGTCTTGGGTACTGTTGCCTTCCCAGGGTGAAGGACATCAAGGACCATTTGCTTCCGCTGAAGTAGCCTGTTGGTTATGAACTTCCTGGTCTGGATAGTTACTGTGTCATTCATGATCTTCAAGCAGCCAGGGAGGAAAAATGGGGGTTCCCAACTTTATAAAGTGATTCCATGCAGCTCAAAATATTTCATCTATAAGAATGTCACGTCAGTGTGTAATGCAATCAAATACTCACCGCTATTAACTGAGGGTCAGTTACGTGTTAGGTGCTCAGCTACTCTGGGGGCACCGAGCACACAGGGTCCCTGTCTCGTTCAAGGCTGGGGGCTCCCTCCAGCCTGGATCTGCAACTCTGTCTGGGCCTCTGAACTGTCACAGTTGAGTCACCCCAGGATTGAAGGAAAACTTTGAGAGAATAAGGCAGAGTTTGTCGCCTTGGTGCACTTTGCCAAACGTGTGTGTTTAAGAGCGATTTGGATCCAGCCAACCCTTCACCTTCTTGGAATAAATATCTGGGCCGCCAGGTCAGTCGGTAACAGACGCCCCCGCTGGTGGGCCAGGGCGCATGCCTGCCCGGGACTGCGCCTCTGGACGGGTCGGGGTTGTGAGCACCTGGTTAAACTGCCTTGAAAACGTAACTTCTCGGTCCTCAGAGCAGAAGCTGAGTCGAGCTGGTTGACCTGTGCCTACTTGCGTTGGTGTGAGTCATGAGAAGTGAGGAGCCGTGTATCCCGAGGAAGGAGAGGAATCTGAGTCAACGCGAATCCCTCCCAGTGGCCAGGACAGTGCCTTAGGCAGCCTGTTGCTCAATGCATAGTTGTTGACCCAATATCCAATTAACCGGAGATCGGTATCTGCAGAGAAAGTGTCTTTTCCACTCGTCAGAGGCCGTGTGTGTGTGTGTGTGTGTGTGTGTGTGTGTGTGTGTGTGAGAGAGAGAGAGAGAGAGAGAGAGAGAGAGAGAGAGAGAGAGAGAGAGACTGCCTGAAGTTTGGAACCTTTGCCTGTAAGGAACCGTGTCATGGAGTGAGGAATGGGTTGTGTTTATACAACACCCCTATTTTCCGGGCCTGACATCCAGGCCTGACGGCAGTAAGCCACCTGAGCACCTGCCTCTTCCTTCTTCTCCAGGCTCCTCCGCTGGCCCTGCTGGTGGTTTCCCCTGCTCACATCTGGCAAGTGCCGCTGGCCCCGGCGCCAGAGAAGATCCTCTGGACCAGCTGCAGTCCGGAGCAATCTCGGTAGGACAGCCGCAGGCACACAGTAACGAAGTGTACACATCTGGGGATGCGTGTCAGGGGCGACCGCAGAACGAGAAGAAAGGCCCCGCCAGGGGAAAGGGAGTCCAGCTAACGACCAGGACGAAGCAGGAATGAGGACAGAAACAAGAGCACCTGGGAGAAACAGGAGGGCTTGGGTCCAGTTACCACTAGGGTGGGGCAGGATTCTGAGCTGCGCGAAGCCCCCAGTGAGAGGCTCTGGTCCACCTGCTGTTGGGAGCACCTGGCAGTGGTCAGGGAAGCTGAGATACCCAGAGCTGATGGCAGGAGGAGACGGAGTGACAAATGGGAGGACCTGGAAACTTGAGGCAGTGCTGAGGGTGGCTTTCCCCGTGCCTGTCGGAGGCGGGTCGCAGAGGGACCTGTGGGAAGCAGCTGGGCTGCACCCTGGGATGAGGGAGTGGGTGGAGCACAGAGCGGCCAGGGGGCTCTGTGGTGGCTTTCTTGCCCCAGGGCAGGGCAGGGCAGGGCAGGGCGTGAGATATGCAAATTCTGAGGCTCCGGAAGGGGGAGTTGCTGGGCAGCCAGCCTTGCTGAGCCCTGGGAGGCGCACTCGGTGGGTTTGGACACCCGCGGGCTAAGCGGGGCTGGGCGCTGTTTCCTTAGCAGACGTCATGTTTACGCTCCGGGGAGAGCAGACCAGACCATTGCGGGTTTGTTTCTGTCAGGCAGGGGACTTACCGCCTGAGCTGCGTCCCAGCGCGGCCTTGCTGGCCAAGCCAGGCGCGATTGCTTCCTCCCCTCTCCAGGGGCCTGTTTACACTGACTTCTCCGTTACTGCCAGCTCTCAAGTGGGAAGAGGGAGGTTATAGTGAAAGGTCAGCAGGTGAGCAGAGGGTCCCTGTCCTGCCATTGGTGGGTATGCATACGTGTACCTGTGTGTGTGCTTTGCGCACATGTGTGTGCGTGTGTGCCTGTGTATGTGCCTGTGTGTGTGAGTGTGTGTGTGTGTGCACTTTTCTATGTGCAAATCGTGCCCTGATCTGGTTGACAAGACCTAATCGCTTGTTTGTGGGCACAATTATGGGTGCCAGGCTGGTTGTTGGGCAGTTTCCTGCTTTGTTTATTGTAAAGAAGGAAAATCAATCCGTGGGCTTTCTGGGTGGAGGGCACGAGATATTTACTGTCAACAGGAGAAGGACGAGGGGATGTGAGGTACTGAGCCCCGGGGGGCACCTGTTATAGGACCGGAGCGTGAGGGGTGCAGACGCCAGCTGAGGGCGTTCTGCCCGACGTATTGGACGGGGAGGACAACTTGGAACACTGCACTTTGGCCAAAGCACAGCGCTGAGTGGAATAAAATTAGGTTGGGCTCGAATTCTATTTCATCAACTGTCCTTTTTAAATGATTTTTTAAATCCTCCCAGAGATAACAGATGGATGCTCCCTGTTTGGAAATAGGAGCTTGAGTGAAGAATCGAGAAGGCCAGTCTTGGTCCACGCGCACGGCCCCAGAGAATCTAGCAGAGAGGCTGACACTGTTGTGAGGAGCCGCTCACAGCGCTGTCCTCCCCTCAAGCCACAGGATGGAGCCTCCACTTGGGACTCAGCAGGGAGCCATGCAACCCCTGGTCGCGGACAACCTCGAAGCCTGCCTGCTGGATAAGGTGAGGACGGGTACCCGTCTCTCCCACACACCCCTCCTCACCCCTCCTCACCTTCTACCGCCTTCCCACCCCTCCTCACCCCTCCTCACCTTCTACCACCTTCCCACCCCTCCTCACCCCTCCTCACCTTCTACCCCCTTCCCACCCTTCCTCACCCCTCCTCACCTTCTACCCCCTTCCCACCCCTCCTCACCCCTCCTCACCCCTCCTCACCTTCTACCACCTTCCCACCCTTCCTCACCCCTCCTCACCTTCTACCCCCTTCCCACCCCTCCTCACCCCTCACCTTCTACCCCCTTCACACCCCTCCTCACCCCTCCTCACCTTCTACCGCCTTCCCACCCCTCCTCACCCCTCCTCACCTTCTAACCCCTTCCCACCCCTCCTCACCCCTCCTCCCCCCTCCTCACCTTCTACCCCCTTTCCACTCCTCCTTACCCCCTTTACTCCTCACCCCTCTACCTTCTCCTCACACCTCCTCACCTCTCTACCCGCTCCTCACTCCTCTACCCCTTCCTCACCCCTCCTTACTCTTCCTCACCCCTCCTTATCCTGCAGGGGGCTGTCTGCCACTCCTGCCCCACCAGAACTTTTCTGAGAAGGTCTCAAGCCCCAGCTTCCCCCCACACCCTACCAGGGGAGAAAGCCTCTCTGCTCCCCACTTTTCTGCCCCATAGACACCCATCAAACTCAGCTGAGTCCACTTTCTCAACGCAATGTCCTGGGCACCGCAGCACAAACCGTGTTTGCCTTCCTGTGGACTCCTCTCGTATTATTAGTGAACACATTTATCTGACAATCAATTGTACATGGACTCCCGAGGCTGTTCTTGTTATTATCTTGGGGTGGTAACGTCAATGTTATATTGTTTTGTTGCTCAGTTTCTGGGGCGAAGAAGAGAGTCTTGGATATTTTTATTCCCCTTGAAATTCACATGGTATCTTTGCACATATGTGACCCGAATTATGTTCAGGGCTCATTGAAGACAATGCAGGAATAGTGTGAAAGGTGCTGGCAGCTTGAGGCCGTACAGTGTCTCACTTAATCTAACCAACAGCTATGGGGTGCATGCCATCGCCCCCGTGTTCACAGAGGAGGGAACGGAGGCTTGTGTGGGTTAAGTAACTGGTCCGAAGTCACACAGTGGGGCAGAGAATGCTGAGGTTTCAGTCTACTCTTTCTCTACCCCGAAGCCGCATTTCTTCTGCTAAACCCCTCCGCACGCATCTCCACAAACACAGTGGGCACTGCTTCGTGCAGAACACTGTGCCCAAACACAGGTCTGGGGTGGGTCTGCTACGAGAGAGAGACTCTGTGCTCTGGGTCGAGCCGCAACCTGGGCCTGTGCCCTCACGAGGAATCGAACCATGACCTCCTGGTTCCTGGGTCGATGCTCAACCACTGAGCCACACCGGCCGGCATTTAGAAACAAACAAACCGGTTCTTGGATTTAAATGCAATTCCAGAATTAAAAGTCTGACGTCCTGTTGTCGGGAAGGAAGTCCTCAGCGTTTTCCCCAGCGGCACTGATCATGGGTGACATCTACACGGGCACATGCTCGGGGGTGTGACCACGCCTGTGTGACATTTCGTTCCTGGCACACTATTTAGTGCCATCTCCGTGCCTCTCTCTCAAGGAAGCATTTGCAATGCAAGTGGGTCAGAATGTTATTATAGGGAACAATCTTGACGTCCAAATAATTTATATTTGAAACAGTAAAAGCTGTCCACAAACTTGAGCTATTAATAGTAGCAAGTGATGCGTGGGACAGCAATGGGCCTGACACTGGTTCGGGGAGAGGGACGTAGCCCGGGATGGGGACGCGTACATAGAGCCGCCTGGAGAGAGGGAGGCCAACCATGGATGGTGCCCTTAAGGGATGGATGGGTGCTCTCATGGCTGCTTGTGCATAAACTGTGATTAGTAAGAGTGACTGAATCTGCATGCTGACCAGTGTAGCGTAACTCACCCACGGCCGGGGCACTGGGAGGGCTGGCTCAGCCTCAGTCCTCACAACACTGAGAACTTTACTGTGAGATGCGGCTCCCAACCACTCTGACCACAATTCTATAGTCAGCTCCTGTGTTACTTTCCCTGCTGTTCCTGGTCAGACTTCTGGTCACCCAATTCCGTTCACCTACTAACCCGGCTTTGTCCATTCTCTGCCCAGAGTGCGAAGCATGGCCCGCCGCTGAAACCCTCCCGTGCTCTCCTATCCACCTGCAGATCCACCCAGCAAACCCCAGGCTTAGCCCCTCAACTGTTACCTTTGTGCTGAGAGCATCTTACAGTGGGGCCCACTGGTATCCCACAGCCGCGTGGGCCCACCCACAGACTCATGGGCCCACCCACAGACTCATGCGCCCACCCACAGACTCATGGGCCCACCCACAGCCTCATGCGCCCACCCACAGACTCATGCGCCCACCCACAGACTCATGCGCCCCACCCACCACTGTCTTGGTCACTGCCTGGCAGTCTCACATGTGCCCAGGCAGCCCCTCGTTCCTTAGAGAAGCTATTCCCAAGTCTGTCACCCGCAGTCCCTCCCTCCCACCTCTGTCCTCCCTCTCAGCCCATTGCCTGGACTCCTGCTCATAAAGAAAACAGTCATCAGAGAGGAAGTCTCGGATTCCCACATTCCCTGCCCTTTCCTCTGTGTTTGCACCCATCTTTCCTTCCTGCTGGCACCGGTGGATTCCTCACCAGGTTTCTGCATTTGCCCAGCTCTTCCTGGCTGGGAAACCCTTACTCAGTGGCTCTCCCCTCCCCACCCCCCGCTCCTCCACCTGCTCTCCTCAGTCAGCACTTAAACGTGCTTGAACCTGCGTGTCATTTTGAAAATACCTGTCGGTGTCCTTGTTTGTTTTCCCTTCCCTAGCCAACTTCCTGGAGGAGTTGCTTACCTCTGTCTTCACTTGCTTGTCTCCCATTCCCTTAAAAAAAAAAAAATTATTGATCTCAGAGAGTAAGGGAGAGGGAGAGAGAGATGGAAACATCAATATGAGAGAAAATCATCGATCGGCTCACCCCCTACTGGGAAGAGAGCCCTCGACCTGGGCCCGTGCCCTTGACTGGGAATCGAACCGTGACCTCCTGGTTCATGGGTCGACACTCATCCACGGAGCCATGCCTCTATTTCAGAAAAAAACTTAGACTTCCCATCCAAAAATTATTTGGATTTTTCTGTCTCTCCTGGAGTTGACTAAAAATTCCATTGTGTTTCCCACAAACATCTATTTCCCTAAACCTTACATATCTCTAAAGGCATGTATTTTTGGTGTTCAGTTTTCTGGGGGTATTTCCCAATTTTTGGAGACTTGCTGTGCGGAGTCAGCAGGTCCAGGAGGGGTGAGTTCTGAGGAGAAGGGAGCCGTGGTTTATGGACATAGCGGGAAGCAGTCGCTGGACGTTACACTGTTGAATCTCCACACGTGCGAACCCGTTTCATAGTCAGCAACCTGGACAGGAGGCGTCATCGCCCCCTTACGTCATCGTCTCCCCACAGTTCACAGCCCCTGCGTGACGGTCTGGCCCTGCCATTTCCCAGCCGCCAGCCCCAGGGGCACCCTTGCTGGTCCCCCGGCTTTGCCAGGCGTGCTCCTGCTTTGGGGGCCAGGAATGTGCTTTCCCAGGCTGTCAGCAGGGCCCACTCAAACGTCACCTCCTTAGAGATGACTTCACTGGCCACCTGATTCCAAAATAGTAGCCTTTTTATTCTCTAATCCCTCATCCCATGTGACTTTTCTTCATGGGACTTACCCTACCTGATATCACATTGTACACACACACACACACACACACGAAGTGTGTGTACACACATACAGAGGGCCATGAGTAGTTCTACAGTTGTGAGCATGCGAAACAGTTTATCCTTGAATTATTTATTAATTATTATTTTTCCACATGAACAGCTGTACACCTACTTTTGCCCCACCCTGTATGTATATGTACATGTGTGTATATGTGTGTACATATATACCTAGGTCCTGTTTTTTCAACTGGCGGGCAAGTATCCCTGTCTTGTTGTCTGTTGTCTTGTTCACTGTGCGCCAGCCTGTGAAAATGGGCACGGACCACATGGCTGGGGACGTCCGTGAACTCCCAAGTCTGTGAACTCACACTTGAACGCATGCTTCTATTTTATGTTTTTAAGATTTTTTAAAAATTGATTTCAGAGAGGAAAGAAGAGGGAGAGAGAGATAGAAACATCAATGATGAGAGAGAATCATTGACCAGCTGCCTCCTGCAAACCCCACACTGGGGATGGAGCCCGCAACCCGGGCATGCACCCTGATCAGGAATCGAACTGTGACCTCCTGGTTCATAGGTTGACACTCAACCATTGAGCCACGCCAGCCGGACGAATGGATGTTTCTATTTTAGAAGTGAATTCTGAGGCACTGAGGCACCATCAGACCTGAAGTCACCTCTCCCGGACCCCTGCTCCTGTGGTCACCCCACTGTGTCCTGTCCCATCACTTCCTTATGCCAGTGCCCGGGGCAGCCCCGGAAATAACCCCTGTGCTGCTTCCCGCCCCCCAGGTGGACCAGAGGCGCCAGCGGGTGTCCCAGATGGTGGAGGAGGTGCAGAAGGTCATCTACCACCTGACCACAGAAATCAGCAACCAGGACATCCGCTTTCAGGCCATCCCGTACTCCTTGATGTACAACGGGAACATCACGGTGAGCGGCCTCCCTCGCCTCCGGGCGCCCACCTGGGGCTCCCGGGAACCGCACATGACAGGCGCTGACACCACTGAGAATACTAGAAGTACTGCCTGTTTCCTCGGGGACTGGGTTTTTACCACTTACACACTCATGTGAGCGGCCACATTCCACCTTCCAGTTGACGGACTGAGACTGGGAAGTCACAGGCACGGTCAGTCCTATGGGGCGCGGAAGCCAGAAGGCACCCTGGAGCCCTGAGCCAGGCCTGTGCCACTCTCACAGTAACCATAGATTGGGGGCTGGGCAGAGGGAATTGTCGAGACAGTGGCTGAAAGTATTTTGTGGGTTGCAGGTGGGGAGGGAAGGCAGTGGAAGAGGTGGCCTTTAGAAACAGGGGTTCCAAGCCGCCTCGGAACCCCTGTCCCTGCCGAGGAGCCCCCAGAGCTGTAAGCCGCCAGGGGACCAGCCCGAGCACGTTCATGCACCACCGTGGAGTGGGCGAAGCCGTCCTCACAGAACGATCTCACCTGCAGACAATCTCGCTGAGCAGACACGAGGGTTCTCTCCCTTTCAGGGACAGGCGAAGCGAGGCTCTGGATTATTCTGGATCCCCGTGCCCCTTGACCTTGATTTTTCTTACGGCACACAAGAACCCCTTTCATTTGTGTTAAAGTTATCTGTATTCACGCCCCTCTCTCCCACCAGACTAGGTCCCTCGTTTGTAGGGATCATGTGTGTTGATGGCTCCGTTCCCAGCCCCCAGCAGGGTGCAGCCTTCGGTAGACACTCAACTTCTGTTGAATGAATGAATGAGCAAAAGAATTAGTATGTGAGCACATGATGTACTGGTGCGTACACCTCGAGGTCGGTGGGCGTAGGGACCAGCCGTAAGATTCTGGGACTTGTTGCATTTTGAAACAGTAAGATCCTGGGAAATTCACCCCCGGATGCAAATGAGAAAACTAGATTAGATCCTGGAATGTCAGCACATTTCCACCCCCCTCTCCCACCCACTTCCACTGCCTCCTAAATTAGACAAAAGTAGACCCGTGACTAGGAATAGAAGCACAATATTACTTTTCCTAGAACTACATCCTGGGAAATGTCTTTCTGGGAGAAAAGTTCTCCCCGTAAACATGAGGTGCCCTGCAAAGCCCAGGTTTCCTTCATGCCTCTTCCTTGCGGACTCACGAAGCCAAGGGCTCGGTGACTTCATGTGCTACTCGAGGCATCACGGGGTCAGTGGCAGGACAGGATGGGCCCTCACCATAGGCAGTGCAGTTCATTGCTGAGGGCGGAGTGGTTAACGGAGCTGCCTGGCTCAGCAGGTGGCTCCAGGGCACGCCTGTGACCTCCCAAGCCTGTGAACTCACATTCGCTCTCTCTCTCCTCTCGGACCCCAGGTGTTGTCCCCCAGCCAGTTCCTCGTCACAGTCCCAGTGAGAGGCCTGTCCGGGTACCGGGAGGCCAGGGAGCAGCGCTGGCGGTACTACACGCTGCAGGGCGCCAGGCTCACCTGCCCCCAGCGGAGCCCCGAGGGCCTGCAGCAGTGGCTGGAGGTGCAGCAGTTCACGAAGAACCTGTGGCAGTGGCACAAGGCAGACGTGAGCATCGAGGAGGACATTGTGCCCGCCAAGGTGCTCCAGGTGTTCCGGAAACTGGTGGAAAACGCCATCGAAACCTGTCACCTGTCAGGTGAGAGGATCGAGAAAAGTGGGGTCTACTTTTTATAGGGTAACTCATGATCTGCTTACTTGGCAATTCAGTAATTCCAGTTCTAGAGAGATTCCTACAGACACACACGGACATATGTACGAGGATCCCCACGGTCACAGGCTGTGTGGTCGTAGGGAGCTAGGGAACTGACCGAGCAAATCCCGCTGCCTCGCCTCGGGGACTGTGCAGCCTTCAGAAAGGGGAGGTGCCTGTGCTCGCACACAGGGGTGAGAACAAGTCAGTGGAGAACCAGAGAGCTGAGCAACACCTGTTCCATCTGCACAGGAAGGAATGGGGGTCCGTGCACATTTCCTTGTCTAGACAGAAGGATTCTGGAAGGTTCCATGATGGAAATAGCCCGTGTTTAATGGACTGTGACCATGGGGAGAATGCTCCCATGGATTATTTAATTTAATATGCATAGCACCCCTAGAGAGTAATAATTATTTTTCTACCTGTTTACAGATAAAAAATGAGATGTAGAGAGATTAAGTGCCATGTGGGTGAGCGGAGCCGGGCTCGGGCCAGGCAGGCGGGTCCGGCTGTCACCTGCTCGCTTTGCCACGCTGTCCGCAGGGAGAGTGGGTATGAGGGAGTCACACCCAGCTGGTTGAGGAGAAGCCCTCAGTAAGTCATGCTGAAGTGGCGGGTGCCCTTGTGTTCCTGTCTGGGCGGCTCTGAGAGGAGACAATAGGCTCCTCCTCCCACCCCAGCAAGGAAAGAATGTTCCCTGTGGAGCAGCCCACACAGGCAGCGAGGGAGCTTCTGTTCCCTTCTCCGGGCAAAGAGCAAAGTACCAGCTCCCAACCGAGGGGCTCGGCCTTCTCTCATGAAGTCGGACAAAAAGCCTGCATCCAGCCAGCCTGGCTCAGTGGTTGAGTGGCAACCTATGGACCAGGAGGTCAGGGTTCGATTCCCGGTCAGGGCACATGCCCGGGTTGTGGGCTGGATCCCAGTGTGGGGTGTGCAGAAGCAGCCAGTCAGTGGTTCTCTTTCATCACTGATGTTTCTGTTTCTCTCTCTCCCTCTCCCTTCCTCTCTGAAATCAATAAAAATATATTAAAAAACAACAACCACCTGCATCCTTTGAAAGAAGGGGGACAGATCAGAAATGGATTCTAGCCTCTGAGCTGGGAAACTTGACCAAGTGCGTTTCTCTCTCTCCCTCTCTCCGCCTGGTTGGAAGCGATGGTGTGTGGGCTTCCTCTGCTCATGGGACTCTCTTCTTTTAAAAAATATATTTTTATTGATTTCAGAGAGAAAAAAAGAAACATCAATGATGAGAGAGAATCATTGATCGGCTATCTCCTGCACTCCCGCCCACACTGGGGATCGAGCCGGCACCCCGAGCATGTGCCCTGACTGGGAATCGAACCATGACCTCCAGGTTCAGAGGTTGATGCTCAACCCCTGAGCCATATCCGCTGGGCAGCTCACTGGACTCTTGAAGCCAGTGACTGGGCAGCAGGTTATGATTTCGAGGGCTTAGGATGGTAATGCAGCCAGGGGCGGGGCTGGCGTGATGCTGGTGAGAACAGATACCCCCAGGAGCCTGTGACTTGGACAAGAGACGGTTAAACCGAACGCCACCACAGGCCGATGAATTAGCAAGGGGCGAGGCTGTCTCAGATGAGGTCACCGTCTGCGTCTGTGAGTGGAATGAGGGGGATGTGGAAGAATGGTCGGATTTCATCTTACAGCAGCAAATACTCTACCTTTTGTTTGTATTCAGCGTCTCTTTCAGTTGAGCCTCCTGAAAAGAATTCATTAATTTCAAAGAAAAGGTACCATAACAGCCTTGGGGGAGGGAGGAGAAAGATACAAGAAAAACCCACCAACCATGCGATTTTCCTAGCAAGGCTTCTGTCGATATTTACTGGGCTCATTGTCTAGTTTTGCTATAAACCGCGCCCCCCTGGGTGCGCCATTGACACCGTGGAAATGGCCCGGCCGGCTGCGGGCGCTGGTCAGAGTCGCTGCTCCCAGACTCCCTCTTTGAATGCTTTTACTGAGCCCGTCCGTCATTTCCCACCAGGAAAGGTCAGCATGCTCACCACCGGCATCACAGTCCATGTTGCCATGGAAACATCCAAAGGGCAGGTGGAGATCGAGCTGGCCCCCGAAGTGGAGATCCCCACCGCCTGGTCCAAGAAAGCCCCGTGGCCTCGGTGTCTGTCGCGCTGGCCCTCCTCCGACAGGGCGAAGTGCGTCAAGGTACCGGTGAGCGGGCCCCCTGGCCGTGCACAGCCCTCACAGCTGCCAACCGCGGCATCCCGGCTGCCAGCCAGCTTCCCAAAGAAAACAGGTTTCCCCAGACCCGCGGTTCTCCAGTGGGGACCCCACAGGGGAGCGGCACCTGAGGACCTGGTTAGACATGCAGGTTCCTGCGCCCCCTCTGATCCGATCTCTGGAACGAGGCTGGGTGGGCAGGCCCCGCCCTCTGGGTTTTAACAAGCCGCCAGGTGATTCTAGTGCAGAACCCCTCCCAGAGGAAGCCAACGCAGCTTCTGCCATTAACTGCCCACGTGCGAGGGGCGGGCCCCGAGGCTCCCGCTGTGTCCACGAGGGATGCTCGCCTGCCCCGGGGCTGGCCCCCAGACCAGTGGATGCTGTGGAGATGGCTTTCTCCTCCTTCCTCCTCCGGCCAGCATCCTCCTTCTCACGTTCCTGCGTTCTCTTCCTCCAGTCGTTTGGATTCTCCCTGTTGGCCCGTTGGCATTATCACTGGCAGCTGAGCTTCCTGCAGGCCGAGCGGGTGCTGCTGGAGCACCTGGACGAGGACGGGGGCTGCCGCCGGCGCTGCTTCCAGGCCCTGCGGCAGATGAAGGAGGACGTCTGGTGTCCAGGGCGGAGGCCTGTGATCACGTCCCACCACCTGCAGGTGAGTGTGCGGCCGGGGCGACCGGGGTGGGTCCCCTCTGCGTCTGGTGGGGCCTGGCCTGGCCACACGGACTGGGCCTGTGTGTGTGTATGTGTGTGAGTGATGCATGTGATGCATTCGGATGGGCGTCCAGTGTCCCCACTTGCCATACCACAAAGGGTCACTCATGGAGAGAGAGAAACCAGCTGTAAGTGTGCCCACAACTCCCCTGGCCAGGGTACCATTTCCTCCGCCTCTCCCTCCCTCTTCCCCCTCCCCCTCCTTCCCTTTTCTTTCTTTGTGCCTTTCCTTTTTTCCCTCTGTCTCTTTCTATCTCTCTCTCCCCTTTTATTTCACTCAACAAACCACAAGTGCCCACTGTGCGCCAGAAACCCCGCTGAGCGTTAGGACTGAATTGCAACTCGTGGCCTCTGCACGCGAGAGGTCTTCAGTCTGGGGAAATCGTGCGAGCTGCTCAAACCTCAGATAAAGTCCCGTTTTCCTCGTGTCCTGACTCAGTCCCCACTCAGACCAGGTGCAGCCACTCAGGCGCACACGCTCCGTGCAGAGGAGGAAACCAGGGAGTGATCAGGTTAGACCAGGACCGGAACTTCCGGGTTCCAGCATCGGGCACGGTTTCCCGTCACTGCCAGCACCTGCCTCCCCACCCCCCAAACCCAGCATTGCACCTTCACGCCCACCTTCACTCACTCACTCAGCAAATGTGTGTTGAGATGACTACAAGCCAGACACCTGCTGCACCTGGAGGTACCTGGGGAGCAAACACAGACATGGTGCTGCTCTCGGCTCCCGGGCTAGCAGGGGAGACGGGCGTTGATCAGGCAGCTCTGCAGGTGGAGTCACGATGCAGGGAGCCCCAGGGAGAGGAAGAATGCTGCTCCGGGAACCAGGGCGCCCCTCCTGGAGAGTGGCCTTTGATTACCCTCTTCCGCTCCTCCCTCCCAAATTTCCGACCGCACACGGTGAACTGGACGCTCAGGTCGCACCGTGTGCAGCTCACTCGGGTCGGGAGGTGTGCGACTCTGACGGGCAGCACAGCCCCAGCCCGGCTAGTTCCGCTGGGAGCTCAGGCTTCTCCCTGAGCCCTACCCGGGAGCACAGGTCTATGTGGTGTCCTCCCTGCACGCTCCTACCTGTGCCTCCTCTCCCTCAATGGACAACGATATCATGTTGGTCTTATTCACCCCTGTCTCGCCCAGTGCTGTGCACCCAGTAGTTGCTTGGTAGATATTGGTTGACAGAGTGCATGAGTGATGCCACATCTTGTTCAGCTTCCCCACAGCCCCTCCCCAAACCACTGGCCTTTGCTCCGCCTTCTTATCTTTTCTGATGATCTGTCCTCCTCGGTCTGGCTGAGAGTCTCTTCATGTCTGGGACCTTTCCCTCTAGTGTCTACATTCTTAACATGTTCTCAGGCACATGCCCCTGAAAGCACACACCTGTGCTGGGGGAGGGGCACGCACTGCCTGTGGCCTGACCTCTCTCTTGCTTGTCTTTCTCCGCCGGGAAGAGGTAGAGCTGAGCCGCAAACTCTAGTCTGTCTCAGAGCAAAACCTCATCATCTTGACCCCAGTGGCATTGCTCCACCATTAAGATGGATAGAGACACTTTAAGTGGCATGAATAGTTAAGGCAAGATTGACGAGGTCGCCGTGACTGCTCTCAAAACTGCATCCCACCCACGGACCACTTTCATCCCAGTAGCTTCTAAGCAGCTAGAGCAGCGGTTCTCAACCTGTGGGTCGCGACCCCTTTGGGGATCAAATGACTCTTTCACAGGGGTCACCTAAGACCATCTGAAAACACATATGTAATTACATATTGTTTTTGTGATTAATCACTATGGTTCTCAACCTTCCTAATGCTGCGACCCTTGAATACAGTTCCTCATGTTGTGGTGACCCCCAACCATAAAATTATTTTCGTTGCTACGTCATAACTGTAATTTTGCTATTGTTATGAATCATAATGTAAATATCTGATATGCAGGATGTATTTTCATTGTTACAAATTGAACATAATCAAAGCATAGTGATTAATCACAGAAACAATATGTAATTATATATGTGTTTTCCGATGGTCTTAGGTGAGCCCTGTGAAAGGGTCATTCAACCCCCAGGTTGAGAACCGCTGATCTAGAGTCTTAGAGCAACTCCTTCAAGGGTTTCTGCTTCCGCCCTCCCTCCCCACCCACAGAGCACAGCAACACTGTGTGCGCTCAGGAAGGGGCGTTTAAAAGGGAGTCAGGTGTTGGAAGGGTGGGATGAGAGGAGCAGCTGCCTTGTCCCCCAGTCTGCCCCCTTGGTCAGCGGGCAGTGCGATGGCCGCGGCTGGTGGCGGTGTGGGTTGTCCCCAAGGAGGGCTCGAGCGTGCAGGACCATTGCAGGGCGTCCGGCTGGGAAACGTGGAAGAGATTGTGCAGAAGAGCCCATCACGCTCACCTCCCCTGAAGCCTGGCCCTCCCCCAAAGGGTCCTCCCCTCCCCCCAACAGGCTCTCCCCCGAAGCGTGAAGCCAGAGCTTACCTTTCCCTGGCTTGTTTATTCCCAAAACCCACTCAGAGGCACGGGGCCTGGACTATCATGGGCTCACTCGCCTCGGTTTGCCTGGGGAGGTGAAAGGTTAAGGACAGGAGAGGAATGCGCCCCTGTCTTTCGTACCCAGGTTATCTTGACCAGCATGAGATGACCTCCAACTCGTTTACGCCAAACAATTTAATCTAAGTCGAAACGTAGTACTTGCCGTGACCCTAAAACTGTTCTTTTACTTTTTAGTCTAGACTGAATTTTTAAACATACCCAACATCCAGACCATCACAGTAGTTAATTCACTATTTCACTCAGTTGGTCAGCATTTCCTGAGTGCCTCCCGTGCGGGCCAGGCCCCCTAGGTGGGGGGGGGGGGGGGGGGCCTGGTGACACAACAGTGACTAAAAGCAGGTATAGTCCTCTCTCTCAGGGAGGTCACTGCCCAGTAGGGACCCCATGGCACGTAGGAACATGAGGGCTACTGGGCTCATTGCTGCTTATGAGAAATAAGTGACAAAGAGGGCGTCTAATGGGTGTCAAAGGGCAATTGGATGTGATGAATGAGTTTCCTGGGAAACGGGAGGGCAGGTAGGTGTGCTCCAAGCTGAAGTAGAAAGTAGGGTGTGAAACGCCCTGAGGGAGAAGAGTGCATGAAATGAGGCCAGTGTTGCCCAATGGTGTGGCTCAGTGGCTGCGCTTCCACCTAGGAACCAGGAAGTCAGGGTTCGATTCCCAGTGGGGAGTGTGCAGGAGGCAGCCAATCAATGATTCTCTCTCATCATCGATGTTTCTCTCTCCCTCCCTCTCCTCCCCTCTCTGAAATCAATACAAATATATTTTAAAAAAAGAACTGAGGGCAGTGTGGCTAGAAGGAGAAGCTCAGGAGAATGCAGGGCCAGACGAGGCTGGAAAGGCAGGTTGGACCAAACCTTGTGAGCCAGACTATGTAAAGGTTTATATTTTTAGCTGAAGCAATGGGAAGACTTGGAGGTCCTTATATTTCAAAAAGACCACGTTGGCTTCCGTGTGCCTGGCGACAGGTGGGAAGGCTGTTGCGCAGGTCTGGGCGCCATGTGGCGAAGAGGACGGCCACGCCGCAGATGAGATACGTGGGTGGATTTGAGACCTGCATCGGCAGCAGGATCGGCAGGACTTGCCTGGGGTTGGCGAGGGCGGGGGTGACCCCAGGTCAGAGTGACTTGCATGACTGGCTGGATGAGCAACTCTGGAGGCAGACCAGGTCGGGGGGAAGGCCATGAGCTCAGCTGGGACATGTTGAAAGATGACTTTCAGATTTTCAAGAAATACCAGGTAAAGAAGTCAGTGGAGCAGTCTGGGCTGGAGAGAGACTTGGGAGTCCCCTGTGTCTCGTGGAAATGAAAGCCACTGTGGTGGAAGGACGATAGAGGAGGAGGGCCTGGAGCTGGGGAACGCCGTGCTTAAGGAGGAGAAGCCTGCCGAGGAGTAGCTGCGGTGCTGGGAGAAACCCGAGGGTGTGGTGGCCTGGAAGCCACGTGAGGAGTAACCCCAGAGGAGGGTGTGGAGGAGAGGATCTGCCGGCTGGTCGGGTGAAGCGAGGGCTGGAAGAGGCCTGCGAGGCTCAGCCGTGTGCAGGTCACTGGCCCTGGAGGAGAGCAGCTTGTGGGGGCTGATGGTGGGAGAGCCCAGCCGGAGGGACTGAGGCAGGGAATGGCGCAGAGGAAATGAAGACAGAGACGGGACGATTGGAGAAACCTGGATCTGCAGGGGAGAGTTAGGGCAGGAGGAGAGGTGGGATTGGCGGGAGCAGGAGATCCGTCACATACAGTTTCCGGAAGGAGAGGGATTCGGCCGGCTGGGAGGAGCGGGGGGGGGGGGGGGGGGGGGGGCAGCGAGGAGGATGCCGAAGTCTGGGCCCGAGGGTTTCCACTTTCCCTGCAGGGCAGAGGCAGAGGCAGAGGGGCGGGGAGAGCTGTGATCCCTGGACGTGTTCGTGGGGAGCGAAGGCCTGAACGGAGAGGCGGAGAGGCGTAGGAGACGGGCAAGGCTGGGAACCCGCTGAGGGTGGGGATCCGGAATTCGGGGCAGAAGCAGCTGGCCCCAGGGTCACGTGAGCTCGGGGTCCCCGAGGATGCCCTCCTCAGGGGCCCACGCGTCTGACCCCCCCCTCCCTCCGCAGACAGTGCTCTTCTGGACTTGCGAGAAGTATCCCCACGCCAAGGACTGGGGGGCCTTCAGCAAAGGGCTCCTGCGCCTGGCGAGGAAGCTGCACAAGTGCGTGCGCCAGCGCTTCCTGAAGCACTTCTTCGTGCGCAGCGGCAACCTCCTGCAGCACGCCACCGCCGCCGAGCTGGACGCCGTGGCCCAGAGGCTGGCCCTCTTCCTGCAGGACCCCGGGCCCTCCTGTGGGCTCCTGACCTTCTGCTCCGGCTCTAGCTCTGTGGATGGGTGCAGGCAGGTGCCAGGTTCCTGCCCAGGAGGACAGCGCCGGGCGGTGAAGGGAGTCCTGCCGACCAGTAGCACCTCAGAGGCCTGACCAGGCCTCCCTGGGCCACGCAAGCCCTGGCCCTCGCCATCGCTAGCTACCTCTCTGGGGGACAGCTCTCATCCAGCTGCCCCGAGCAAACTGATGACAGTTCTGAGCCTGTTTCCCTTGCTCAGATGCGGATGGTCCGACGGGGAGGATGGAGACAGAGCCCCTGGAAGCCAGGCATCAGCCTGCTGCCCAGCCCTGGTCCCCCAGCCCGCCGGCCACGGGTGCATTGTTTCCATCTGTGAAATGGGACTGTGACTGTGCCTCCCTGAGGGCGGGGCCGAGAGCCCACGGACTGGGCGGTGCCCTTCGAGGAGGAAGGCATTGGATCAGCACTCCGTGCTGCTGTTGGTTTATGGCCGGCGTTCGCATCCCGGATGAGTACCTGACCGCTGATTAAATGATTGCGTCTGTTGCGTTGGCCTGCGCGTGTTTCCCGCCAGCTCTCCTGTGGTTCCGTCTGTCTCGCTGGTGGTCACCCGGCAGAGAAAGAGAGGTTTCGATGACAGGTGTCAGTCAGAGGTGAAAGGGCCGATCTGTCTGCCTCCTGGATCCCAGCCACTGGCCTCTCCTTGCGTCCCACGCCGTGGGTCAGGGATGGGCCTGCCGTGTGTTGATGAAGGAACCTGGTACGGCGATCTGCATGGAATGGCTCGGGTGCTGCTCACCTCTCAGCACCTTCCTTTGCTCTCGTCATTCACTCCCTCATTCATTGATACATATGTGCTCCTTAGGCGTGGGGAACGCGGCAAAGGGCAAGATGGACCAGGCTCACCCGATGGGTGATGCCTAGTGGTGGAGACAGGACATGAACAGTGAGATCAATAAACGCGTTATTATAAATTAGAGCGAGTGCCACGGAGGAAATAAACAGGAAACTGCAATAGAGCCACAGAGAGAGCCAGAGGATAAAGATGCAGGCACTGGCGGGGAAGGAGAGGGAGCCGAGTGCAGGCGTGGAGGGGCCGCAGGGTCAGATCCCCTGGCCTGGGACGCCGGTAAGGAATTTGTACTTTGTTGTAAAGTCGAAGGCGAGGCATTTGGCCTCTCCTGGCATCGTGATGCGATTTGCATTTTAAGTTCCTTTTCTAGCATCTGCATAGAGAGGGTGCGGGGCTCGCCCTGGCGTTGGGCAGGGAGGGCTCTCCAGCCCCACATTTTGAACCTCACTGAGGTCCCGAGGCCACCCACCCTGTGCAGCACGTCGGCCGGGAGTTCTAGTTCTTGGTGAGGCCAGTGGTTTCTCCTGGCATTTATGTACTGCTTCTCAGGTCAAGGGAACCCTTTACCACCTAGAACGTTTTCCCCAAATATATAACAGTGACATTCCTATAAGCATGAACTGCTGCCTTTTTAAAAAGGAAAGTCACATTTGAAAAGGAAAACGATTATTTTTACAAAAATACTGTAACCAAACGGTGGGGTCCCTGGGCCATCACTTGGGAAACGGTGGTTTCAGAATGATGGAGGGAGATCTTTCGAAGCATAAGTTAATAATTTTGACAACACGAACTGACGAGCAGACCAGTGTTTTGCTAAATCATCCAGACTTGCATTCAAATTCTCCTATTCTTAGATCTTGGGAAACATGTTTGAGAAGGTAGCAGACAGATATAGCAAGTTTTAAAAATGTTAATGATGAAAACAGCTGAAGCAAGTTTCGAATCAGCTCTGCAGTCTCACAGAACACAAAAGGTGTACGTCGCCTGTACCACTGATTCAGATGTGTTTGGAGAGGGTGGGCCTGGCACACTGCGCCCGGGCTGCTTCCGGTAGATTCTTCCCACCTTTCCCTGTGGATTTGGTTTCTGGAGGAAGGAGGGCTGTCAGTAGATTGCAGAGAGTTCCAACTGCTGGCCAGCAGAGGGCAGGCGGGGACCACACATGAAGGAGCCGGGTTCCCACCCAGCACCCTTTCAGCCAGCAGGCGTCACCCTCCTCGGCCCTCGTTCTCCAGAAAGGGAGCCAGGGATAGAGGATTCAAAATTGTTTGCTGATGCAAAATTGTTTACCTTTCCGGCCATTTTGGCTAAAATTCACAGTCTTTCTGCTTAAAGCTCAGATTTACAAAGGGAGCCTGTGCAAGTATAGTCCATCGTGGGGATTCTGGAATATTCTGCTCATAGTTCTGAAAAGTCCGATAATATTACTCCTTTATTCTGGTCAGCTTTTTGTTTTGTTTGTTTTGTTTTCAATTCTCCAAAAGGCCGTTTCTGTGCATCTCCGGTCTTCTGGGAGCAGGGCTATTTCATGGTGAAATGCTTGGTGTCCAGCCGCAGGAACTGACCTGCTCGATTCTGCATCCAGCTCTGACACTGTAACTGCCTGTCCTGGGCAAGTCGTCCAGCTTCCGAAACCTGGATTTCTCTGTGGGCTTTGTTATGGCTTGAATGGTGTCCCCCAGAATTCATATGTTGAAGCTCTAACCCCCAACACCCCAGAATGTGGCTGTATTTGGAGACAGGCTCTTTAAAGAGGTGATTGAGTGGAAAGGAGGCCTGGAGGGTGGTGCCCTAACCCGATAGGACTGGTGTCCCTAGAAGTTCAGGAAGAGAGATCCTGGGCAGGTGTGCAAAGACACCAGGCCATCTGCCAGCCCACGGAGAGAGGCCTCAGGGGCAACCATCCCTGCTGGCACCTTGACCCTGGCTTCCAGCCTCCAGAGCCGGGAGGAAATCGCGTGTGTTGCTTAGGCCGTGCAGTCTGTGTGCTCTGTTCTGGTGAAACTAACGCAGGCCTCGGGGGAGAAGCCACACCTCCTCACTGGTGAGGAGAACCCATGGAATAATGGTGCTTAGTCGAATCAATGTTTGGTGTTGTAGACACCTATCCCCCACGCTGTCCGTCATCGCTGCCAGTCCTGGTAACTACCCCCGCCCCATGTATAAAACCGCCACCAGGAAAGCAGGCACAGCATTCCAGTACGAACCCCGTGCGCCCATCTTTCCCTGGTCCCTCTTGCTGACGTGGGGAGGCATCCCTCCTCGTGCGGAGTTCTCCGCCTGCGCTGGACCAACGCCGCGAGCTTCGCAGGCCACCTCCCTTTATTTCCTGGCATCGCCGTGTCCTCCTGCAGCCCCCTGCCCCGCTCTTCTCTCCGCGATCCAGTTTCCCGAGTTACTGTACGTGTCTCCACTTCCTCCGCTCTTCATACTTGTTTACTGAGAGAGTCTGAGCTGTTTAAAGAATCACAGGGACACCATGCTCACTGTCTGGGTGGGAAAAATGGCCCACTACCAGCCAGAACTTTAGAATTCTCCCAGGTGCGCCTCTTCCCTAGCCCCCTCCCTCCCTGACATAGGTGAGCCTGGTCCCCTATTTGATGTATGACTCTGGCTTCCATTTTTTGCTGCCTGCTAGTCAATCATGAGACTGTTGTTTCTTTGTAGGGTGTCTGCTTTTCTCTCTGACTGCTTTTAATTCTCTTCCGCCTCCTTTTCTCTCCCCACCCCCCCTTTCCCTTTGTAGTCTTCCTTTGTCACTCTGACACATGGACAGAGTTCCCTGGCATCCGTTTGAGACCAGCTCTGCCACTCACGGATTTGTGATCTTGCGCACAACTTCGTTTCTCAAAAGGCTTTCCCTCGTCTGAAGATCAGTCCGCATTGCGAATGTTGGTTGCCTTGTCTAGAGTCAGACAGCCCTGGGTTGGAACTCAGCTCTGCCACGTACTAGCCCATAGCCTTGGCTATTACTCAACTTGGCGAGACCTCAAGTTCTTTGTCTGCAGACGGTAGAGATTATGCCTTTTATCCCCGCATCCCCAGTAATCACCACCCTACATGGCTGAGCAGATGAAGCTTCCAGTGGGGACAGTGCGGGCTTCTCACCAAGGCCAACAATTGTGGTTTAAGCATTTGCTGGAACAAATAGAACTGATAGCTTTAGAGCTTCAGGCATCTCAACACGGTATCTGGTATCCCAGAGACTTCCTTGTCTCCGTGGACCACTCAGTATCCGGGGCCTCTTTCAGTTGTTCGGGTCATGTAGCCCTCTGCTCACAATCCTCCAACCATTGCCCATCCCGCTCATGCTAAAGCCAGAGCCCTAAATGGCCCCCAGCCCCACCTCTGAACCAGTATCCTGTCCCTCACACTCATCCTCACCCATACTGCTTCCTCGCTCTTCCTAGAACACGCCAGGCATGACTCGGGACTTCTGTGCTTATGGCTCCCTGTGTCTGGAGGCCTTCCCTAATGGCTTGATGTAAACTAGGACATTTTATATACCTCAACCTGGTCTTGACATGAGCTACCCTCTTTTTCTGCTCGATTTCTCTCCATAGCACCCTCTGGACAGTATCTAGCTGTCTGTCTGTCTGTCTGTCTGTCTGTCTTGCACCCACCAGAGTGAACGCTCTCTGAAGAAGAGACTGTGTCTGTGTTTTCAGGGCTGTATATTTACAACCCCGGGCACATTGTCAGTGTCCAGTACATCAGACCGTGAATGAAAATGTTTGCCAGACTCCTTCAAAAACGATCCATTCAGGCCTCAAGCTCCTTGGACCTTTCCATGTGTTTGGTTTGTTTCTTCCCTTAAAAGCAGCGGAATCGCGGAGTTTCTAGCTTGCAGAGGAGGTGGAGGTCTGCCTGTGGCTGGGAGGAGAGGGCCCCGGCAGGGTGAATGACTGGCCTCAAAGCCCGGCTCCGAGGTGGTTTGCAAGGGAGACACTCAGACGTTTTTCCTTTCAGAAGCCCTTGACCTTCCACAGTGCAAGCCTGAGCCCTGGAGGAAATGCAGTCTCACAATCTAACTCTGAACTTTGGCTCTTCTTCCTCATCGGTGCCCGGGGCTGGGACTTCGCCCCTCGCCCTCCACCCTGCTTCCTCTTTCCTGGTTGTCAGGAGGGCGGTGTGGGCGGGACCCCTGTGGGAGGTGGGGACTTGCTGTTCTCCCCCCCACCCCCCTTCTCTCTCTCTCCTGAAAAGAAAACTTAAAAGAGTCCCGCCACTTATTTTCTCTGAATTCGAACTATATTGGTGGGTTCGAAAGACACGGGAACATGGGGAAATAACCCTAATCACCACCAAGAGGTTCTGCTTCACAGACGAGAAGGCAGAGGCCAAAAGAGAGGAGAAGAAGTAATTTGCTCAAATGTATCCTGTCCCAAACGGAACTTCTTTTAAAATATATATATTTACTGATTTCAGAGAGGAAGGAAGAGGAAGAGAGAGAGAGAGAAGCATCATTCATGAGAGAGAATCATCAATTGGCTGCCTCCTGCACGCTCCCTACTGGGGATCTATTCCGCAACCAGGGCATGTGCCCTGATGGGGAATGGAACCATGACCTCCTGGTTCGTGGGCCGATGCTCAACCCCTGAGCCACACACAGGCCCAAACAGAACTCTTGATTCCTCCTCTCCAGTGTGCCCCTCGCCTCAGTAACTGGAGTCATTATTCCTCCACTCGCTTCAGCCAGAACCCAGGCGTTACCCTTGAGCCCTCTCTTTTCATCACCCAACACCTTCAATCCGCCAGCAAATCCTTTTGGCTCCGCTTTCTATATATAGTGCAAGTCTGACTCGCAGCCCTCAGCCCTCGGCTGCCTCCACCCCCAGGCCACACCTTCCTCCTGTCCCTTCTGGACTGCCACAGAGGTTTCCTAACTGGTCTCCTCACACCCACCCTCACCCCACCCCCTCCCACCCAAGTGTCCCCCACACAGGAGCCAGAGTGCTCTTTTCAACATGCACATTGAACCATGGTGTTCAAATCCTTCCAATAGTTCCCATCCCTCTTAGAAAACAAGGCCCCCAGGATCTGCCCCCTGCTCCTCTCTCTGCCCTCGCCTACCACCACGCTCCTTCACTTCATTCCAGCACAGCTGCCATGCTCATTCCTGCCCAGGGCCTTTGTGCCTGTCGGCCCACATGTCAAAGCCCGCTCCTCCCTGGCAGCCTAACGCAGACAGCGCCCCATCGCCGGTCCCTTCCCCGGGTGGGGAGCCCAGTCCCCTGTTAGAATGTAAGCTCCCTGTGGGCAGGGAGGTGTCTTGTTCGCTGCTGTGTCTCCTGCACCTAGAACAATGCTGGGTGCATAGCAAGCGCCCAGTATTTGTTGAAGGGATGAGTGGAGGAAGGAAGGAATGATTTGGCTTCGTGGCAGGCATCTACTTCGTGGCAGGGTTCGAACTTGAACCCAGGTCTTCTGACTCAGGCCAGGCTCTTTCCCCTACAACGTGCCACCTTGAAGGTTGGAAAGTCACATCTTTAGCTGCAGAGAAAGAAAAATTACCGTGGCTCCGGCAGCCTTTGCTCCAGGCAGGGCCTGGCTCCCTGGACGCAGGATGCACGCTCATGCTGCAGGGACCCGTCATCCCGGCCTCCACCACCACCAGCAGGGACGCAAGCACACGTGCTGTGGCCGGTGCTGCTGGACACCGCCAGCCCAGCCAGACCCGACTCCAGCGCTCTGTGCACTGTTTGAGCAACATACACACACACACACACACACACACACACACACACTTTGCATGTAAACAAAGCACGCCAGAAAGGCCTTCAGGCCCAGCCCCTCCCTTCCTGCCAAGCGTGGGGACAAATGGTGGTGGTCTTGGCAGAAGGTCTCTGTTGCCTTCTCTTTGTCTCCGAGTCGAGACCATTCATTTCCTCCCATTCAACCCGCTTTATTTTTGGCCGTGTGACTCTCCTTTGTGCACTTAAATATTCGGTTCTCAGACTTTGTAACCTGTGCACCTCCCGCCAGGGCCTAACTCCTGAACACTGAGTACCAACGACCAAGTGAGCGCACAGGTCCTTCCTTGTAAAGGAGCAGAACGCCTTAACATCTAATGCAGGCTCTTAGTGATCATGTAAAAAGTCCCGGCTCCCCCCCCCCCCAACCCCTGCCCGGTGGGCGTGGCTCAGTGGTTGAGCATTGACCTATGAACCAGGTTCAATTCCCAGTCAGGGCACGTGTCCAGGTTGTGGGCTCGATCCCCAGTGAGGGACGCACAGGAGGCAGCTGATTGATGATTCTCTCTCTCTCCCTCTTCCTTCTTTTCTGAAATCAATACAAACAATTTTTTAAAAAGTCACCGCCCTCTTAGGGCACAGAGGGATATGAGGGTATTTGGTGGAGCACCCAACACCTGGCACGTTCATGAGTGAGTGCCCACTGTGGGGTTTCGGACCTGAGACCGGGGAGCAAGCCAGGCTGCCCTGC